ACCTTAGTCGCATCTTCATAATGTTTCTTATGGGAGGGTATTTGTTTAGGGTTAGCAATGGCCTCATCGATCTCAATGAGTTGTTTCTCAAGGACTTATACTTTTCCCTCGTATCGAAGAGGCATCTTGACGTTACACATCCAATCATTGTAGTTGGTGCCATCTAATGTCACCTTGGACACGATCGAGAAAAGCAAGAAGTTTTGAGTATAGTTTTTGAGAAGCAAAAGCTTCACCATAAGTAGACTTCTATAGAGAAAAAGAGGTTTTAGTTAGATAACAATAATCCTTAATATTTTAATGCATAATTAATATTTAAGGCTATGACCCAATATAAAAATTCATAACTAGGAAGAGGGATGTCGTAATCTTATTGCGAATTTATGAAGCGTAGGTAAAAGCAATTCATCAATTTCGAACTATGAAATTCCTGGATCTTTTGAGATTCACTGAATCTTATCAATGACATGTTTAATCTTAGATTATGCTTTTCTATTTGTGAATGAGATGTCGAGGATCATAAACAAGATGCGAATAACCATACAAATACGTTTGGCACCCTCGATGTTATTTATCATCTCTAATTAATGTGTTGGTTAACCACACTGCTCCATTAACAATGATAATTTTTGAGATACCCAATACTACTCTTTATAGTCACTATTATTGTGTCGGTTAACCACACACACTCCACTAACTACATATAAAGCATAATGTGCAATTTCATGGATTATCATACTTTTCATATTTTTCCTAAAGTAATTAAGAGTGGGATTTAAAAAATAGTTTAGTTACTTTATATCAATATACTCCCATCAAACTCGTTCAGCTAACAACCATCCACCATACAAGAGAGCAGTGGGTGAGAGTGAACACCCAATGGCGGTCATTTTATATGCCGCTTCCTTAAACTCTCCTTATAGTATAACTTCATGAATGAGGCATACTATTGATTTGACTGACTTTGTCTTATACATATAACATATTAAACTTTTAACTAATTAATTAATTATATATATATATATATATCAAGGTTGTAAAAATCGCTCGACAGTAGCTTGGCGGTCGACTGGGGTCAAGCGATTAATCGGTTTGGCAGGGGTTAATCGGGGACCATAAATTACTAATAAAACTCTTTTAAAACTTAATAGATCCTAAGAAAAATATTATTTGAAAATTTAAAATTTTTAAATTTTGAATTTTTGAAATATTTGGTATAATATTTGAATATTTGAATATTTAAAAATTTAAAATTTTGAAGTTTTGAAAATTTTGGTATAATATTTGAAAATTTAAAATTTTGAATTTTTTAAAATCTTCTCGCCATGGTCCGCCAAGGACCGCCTAGCCCGAGTTTGACCGATATTGATCAATTTCCGCCTAGCACCCCTAATCGTAATCAGTTGCAGACCGCCTAGCGCCTAGGCGGCCGCCTAGACCGATTTTTACAACACTGATATATATATATATATATATATATATATATATATATATATATATATATATATATATATATATATATATATATATATATATAATATAAGGTGTATTTTAAAACTTTTCTAAAATAGTATGTTTAATTTTAAATTTTCTAAATTAATATAAAAACTTAACTTAATTTAAAAATAAACCAATTTTGATTTAATCTTTATCTTTTAGTTAACTATTAATTAATTTAATTTAAATCACATAAGGATTAAATAATTATTTACTATTAAACTATTAATTAAATAATTTAAATTTACCCTACTAGATTTTCAAAAATTAAGGGATATAAGGGTTATCCAATTTTAATTATTCTATTTTAACTAATTACAATAATAATTATCTAATAAGGAAACCCTAATATCCCTACCATATTTTCGAAACTTAGGGATGAAGCTAAGGTTTTAAAAAACCCTAGCCCAAGTAAAAATTTACATCCCTTAGGGTTTAATTTCAATAAACCATAATTTGATATATTCAACTATTACACATATTTAATTGAAAACATTTGGCTCTGATACCATTGATAGGTATCATAGGTTACAAAAATCATGTGGTGGAAAATAACTTAACTCTTAAGTTGACATGCAACCTAAATTGATCCATGTTTTTGTTGGCTTTTGAGCACTATAACACTCCTACGATGCACATGCAACCCTAGATGCTTTGGATCTATGTTTTCTCTAATTATACATGCATATTTTCAAATTTCGAAAGCATACATCCTAACTAGCATACAAATTGACATTTGAGCAATACAATTAGTTAGATGACTTACCTCTTAGAAGTACTTGTAGTTCTTGACGTTTGAAAGATTGAGCACCTCAAGTGTGATGCCTCTAATGGTTCACAAACACCAATATGCAAAAGGAAGCTTGAGAGAATAAGTTACTTAGCACAAAATCAGTATCAAATATCTTAGAATGATGGTGTATATGTGTATGTCCGATTTTGGTCATGAGGGTGTGCTTTTATAGTGTAGCAAATGTTAGGATTACACCTTGTAAACCCTAATGACCTTTCATATTACTTAGGCTCCATGGGTTAAACCTCCATGGACTATCTCATTATTTTTTCCCATCCTAAATAACCATGGATCATTAGCCCACACTATAAGAATTATTGATTTACATAATCAATCCCCATATATTTAATTAGTCTCTTTTGATCACAAAATTAACTCCAAATTAATTCTTAATCAATACTAATTAAATAATATGTGTTCATATTAATATATTATACTTGTAATATATTGATAAATCATAAATAACATTATTCTCAAAATTTCATCCTATCAAATTGCATTGGTGAAGGTAACCCAAATGGACCATGTTACAATCAGGTCAAGTACATCCCAGCTATAGTTATGGGCTTAGACACCAAATCCAACTATTTTCACTATTGAAAGTTATAAACTATGAACATCAAAGAAGTATAGAAACTCTTATTTATTCGAAAATTATAAATAAATTAGGTTTTACATAGCTTTTAGTCATTATTGTAAATAACTGATCCAATCCTTCTTCAGTAGCTCTTGGAAGAAAGCACTGGAAATCTCATGCCTCTGATGGTTCACACCCAAACCCTAACAACTAAGGAAACTTGAAGAGAGACAAGAGGGGAAGTAATTTTCAGCTATCCATATAAAGGGATACGTGGCAGAATATGGTTAGCCTAAGGGCCCTATTTATAGTTGACAGGAAAACCCTAGATAAACTAATTTGAATATAATACTATTATTTCAAATTAGGTAATTATCTTTATTTCCTAATTATCTTCAAGGGATATTCTAGAACCCTAAAATACTCCTCAAACCCGTCCACCGCACCATGGAAGTTTATGGAATCCCTTTTGTTCAACTATTGAATAATTATAGCTTAAATCCTTACACTTCTAATTAATCCTAAAAATCATTCTAATTAATTTCAGATTAATTCTTAATTAAATAATACTATTTCTAATTAATATATTAATCTCACAATATATTAATAAATCATTTATTTCTATTTATTAATCATAAAATAAATCAATAAATCAGTCTCTCTCTCTCTTTCTCTCTCTAAAAGTCATCATATTTAATTATTAAGTTTGAGGGCAACCTAAAAATACTTTGCTAATAATTTAAGTATATATCAATTTAGTTATTGGCTTAGACACCTGATCCAACATCCCAACCCATAATCATCCGAACACTTAAACTCAAATATCTAAAAGTATTCAAAGCAAAAACTCTGTGAAAAGTAGAAGCAAGAGACACCTCGCCCACCCACACATCCTACCAAAAAGATGTATATCGCCCAACACTAACCATGATAGGACATAAAGACTGAATATTTATCCCTTTATCTCTAAGTCGGTTGAACATACATATAACCCCATGTCAAGGACCTAGCACAGCTCTTCGAGGGATCAAAGACCTACAACCACCATCAAAACCATACAAAGATTTTACAACATGGGTCCATAAAAGATCAGGGTAATGATAAAATCATCACAACCAATGTAACATGATAGCCCTATTGAAGGAGAAAAGGCTCCCCATTCCCAATCCAACCTCTTCCCTAGCCACTAAAACGATGTCCTATATAACCCAATGAATACGTCTCTCGTCCATATCTCCACCCCACAAAAATCTAGCCCTCAAAACCTCTAAAAAGGTCAAAACTAAGAGAGGAGTAAGGAAAATAGACATCATATAACTTCCTAATGACCCAAAATAGACTTAACAAAAGTAAGGCGTCCTCCAAAAGAAAGGCATTTGGCCTTCCAACTCGAAAGCCTACTCTAAAAACGGTCAAGCACAGCAGACCAAGTATAGACATGATTCATATTTTGGCCCATCATAACACCAATACTACTAGACAAACAGCCTTTTACGATGCGCAATGTGTGTTGTAAAACGCTCAGACGACGCGCGAATGCGTGTCAAGGAAGGCCCTGTCATAACAAGAGACGACACGCTTTTACGCATCATAACCTTACGACGCGCATTTACGACTCGTGTTTACGACGCGCAAATACGTGTCAAGGAAGGCCCTGTCATAAAGAATATGACACGCATCTGCATGTCATAAAACAATGCACATTTACGACTTGCATTGTGTATCATAAAAGCCCATGTCATAAAGAAAGACGACACACATTTTTGTGTGTCATAAAGTTTAAAGTATGTGTGTGTGTGTATATATATATATATATATATATATATATATATATATATATTAGTAAATTTACTAATTTTCAAATTACATCACACATTTAATGTCTCATAATATAAAATATAATTTCATAAACAAAAAATAAAATAAATTGCACAAAGTATAGTATTTCATACAAATAATCATTCCAATGTTAAACAGAAATAATACATTGCTAACACGGGTTATACAATACTATAAACCTAATAACCCTCGGTGACCTTGATCTAGATCGAGGTCGACTTGGATCGATGGCGAAGATTGGATTGTAGATACACAACATGATTATTGACCAAGACCTTGTGCAACAAGTGCATCCTATGCCCTATTTCCAGCAACCACCACACGTTTTAGCATCTCAAGGGCTAGTATACTTCCTCCTTGCCATCCAATAGATTTCATTAACAATGAAACTACCTGTAATTTATTAAAAAAACAAGGTCAAAACTAAAAACTAAGTATGCCCTTGCTCCTTTTTTTCCCTTAACATAGGTAAATAATGATGTCTATCTGGATAAAGCTTGTTCCTTTTCCAGATTGTAAGAGGATTTTGATTGATTCATTAAGTCCATTAAGTCAAAAGGAAACAGATACTAACAGTTTTAATTAAGTACATGACCAAAATCAAAATGATTATAAAATATAAATATTAATAATAAAAGTGAGAGACCTGAGTTGTCCATTTAGCAAATGCAGATTACCTTTTGTTAGAAAGATGCTGACCCATTGCTCTTCGTAAATAGCCACCCTCACGATTTGAATGTCCGAACCACCATCACTGGATTTTATAGTGTTTACAATCCATAGTCTTTTGTGACACCCTTTAACTAAACACTAATTGATGATAAAAAAAATAGTTTAGTTTAAATTAGGGTTTCAAAACATGATGAAACCATGAAAAAAAAACTTACGTGCTCGAATTTAAAAGTTAGGGATAGGAAGTAATTAGAATCATCAACTTCTCCAACATGTATGTCAATTGGACCCCTTGAATATGACCCATCCTTTCATATAATATTTTTATAACAAATTAATAGAAGATGTTTTTATAACAAATCAATAAAATACATGATTGTGCAGATGTCACTTCTAGCTAGTCTTCAATGGCAGCTCAACTTTGTCTTTAACTTCCTTTGACTATTAATCAACTAACCACATCAATCATATATAGATTATTATAATAAAAACAAACAACAAACTTACACGATACAATGAGTTAAGAATATCAAGTCTGCTTACCAGATGTTCTAGAATCCCACATTGAACTGCAAGAAATATGCAAAACATAATGATGAGGGTGAGAAGGGAAATTAAGTCATTTTCACAATCAGCTTCATTTATGTTTAATCTAAAAGAGAATACATGTTCTTTTACTAAGCCTTGTTCAACCATATTGTACTTGTAAATTGTAATTAGAAGAAGACTATAAGTCACAACAAAAAGAGAGGAAAAGAGTTGATCCAAATTCAGATGAGTTATTACTTGACTGTGGTTAACCAGAATGTGAAAACATACTTTTTTAAAATTATGTAGTGTCCAAAAGAGTAACTATATCAAAGCATTAAACAAAACTTATAATAACAAAATCCTAACTCATTACATATTCTTTTTAAAACAAAAGAGTATCTATGCATCACCAGCAAACTGTTTCCCCAAATAGACATTTAAAGCCACCTATGAATCATCCACACGATAATAACAAAATCCTAACGCATTACATAATAATACCAAAATCCAACTCTATTTCTTACTAGAATATGTGTGTAATTGTCTCCTTCAGCAGCCTCCATGTCTAAAGTCGGATCTACCTTCCTAATCTGTATGTATAACAAAGACACATAAATATATTGTGAAATTGTGATCTGATCTGAAATAATAATCTTGAATGTTGGTTATACCTTGTGCTTAGTTTCAGTAGCCAAAATAGCATCTTGCCTTAAGAAAACTGCTAGACCACAATTTTTAGAAATGTAATTCTTTAAAAGTAAAAAGCTGAAACTAGCAGACCATAAAAGAAATGTACAATTGTTTCAATATATTACTAAAAGGGGCATAATAGTCTTTTTGTCTGTTATTATCCTTGTCCCAATCCCTAAAAGTCATGTAATATATTAACTACTATATATTTTGTAGACCACAATTTATAAAAGTGATGGTGTTTTAGTAAACTAAAAAGTCAATATTTTGATAGAAAAGAAAAAAAAAACACAAATGGTTACGCTACCACATACCTTTCAACACACACCAACAATCTTTCCCCTATGGCCGATGGTTTTGTTGTTTTGCCCACGAACTCTCAGAACCTAGTATTGAAGCCAATAGTGATTCCTAAAATGAATAAAAATTGTATCTCAGGATATTAATATATTCTTTTTCTATAACATATAACAAACTAACATTATTATGATTCACTTATGTGGATAAATCATCAAAAAGGAAAAGAAAATTAGAGACCGGGTTAACATAGTAGTTCATGTGACCAAATATCAAAATCCAAGAATCCAACACAGCACAATTGCAAATGAAGGAAAGTTTAGGGATGAACATGTAATTCTAAAGCAGCAAAGAAAAGTACAAATAGCAACCAAGAATTAACTTTGGGTGTGAAGGGTGGGTGGTTAGTGGTCGTAGATGGGTGTTTGTTGGTGGGCAGCGATGGATGGTGCCATGGTGGGTACAGGCGACGGTGTAAACAAAATACACATTTAATGAATGAAATTTAAGGCTTTAATAGTTAAATTACACAAGTAGTGAAGTAGAAAAAACTAGAAACTTAAGTTAATCAAGTAACGAGGTTGAGTCAACGTCACATAGTAGCAAAGAACAAGGTCCATAAATCAATAAAATAATCATTAAAACAAAAAAACACAAAAAACTTTTCAAATTTTAATTCATTTTAGCTTCTTCCGAGAATTATAAAACCACCAATGAAATATCCTAGTAGGGAATCTTATGAACAACAGAACACTGTTTGTCTAACCATGAACAGAACTACTCATAAAACTAAACACTTCCAATCAAAATCATGGGTATATTGTTTAATTTATAGAAACAATATATGGATTTTTTATCAATAGGAACAAACACTAATTTAATTAACTTAGTCAAATTGTTTTCTTTTCTGCTCACCATTTAGGAAAAAAAAGATCAACGATAAAACAGAGACCATAACACACACTTTTAAAAAAGCTTTGATTCCTTTTTCTTTTTCCAAATATTTCTGAATCATCCAAAAAAGATGCAACGATATGAAAAGAAAACTATTGAATATCAAGTGAAGCTCATCATCATCATCATCATCATATTATCAAAGTAAAAGCATAAAGATAAACAAGCATACGTTTCATCCTTAATAGCGAGGTTAAGAAGGTCGAGCAGGGCAGCTTTGTTGGCTTTCGGTGATGAAGAGCGGATCATCGACACAAGGGGTTTAATTGTGGTGGAGTATTATCGGTGACACCGGCGGGAAGTCTTGGTGAGTCGTCGGATCTCGTCTAAGACTGTCGGAGAGGAGGGAATCCACCGGCTGGGTCTCACTGGAAAGTGTCAAAAAGGAGGGGCTCCATCGGCTGGGAGTCGCTAGAAAGCATTGGATGGCAGGGCGGGGTTGGATGGAGGTCACAGGAGGGAGGTGCCAACGCCAAGAGAAATGTTGCAAGTGGGAGAAGTTAAGAGAACTGAGAAGAAGACAAAGGGTTTGTCAAAGTGAGAAGGAGAGAAAGGGAAGTTGAAGAGAGAACGAGCAGTAGAGGAAGGCGGTCGAGGCAAGTTCTTGACAAAAATCCCTAGCTATTACAAAGAGGGAAACTAAAGTGGAAGAGAAAAAAAAAAAAAAAAAGGAAGGCGGGGTTTTTAAGTTTTTGGGATTTCATTTTTCCCGGATGGAACGCGCACGTTCTATTAAAATTTATAAAATGAGAGTCTTAGACGACACACATTTTATTATAGGTGCCCTCCGTGTTTATTTTTTTTGTTTAGACACTAATTTTAGGGCACGCAAAAATGAGTGTCCTAAATCGCTTAAATTTTGGAAGAGATGACATTATTTTTTGGACACACATATTTGCGTATCATAAATCACATGGTTCGCACGTCGTAAAAGGCTGTTTTCTAGTAGTGCAAGATGAAGAAATGAGAGCTCAGTCGCAGCACAACCAATCCCATCAACAACACTAGAACCATGGGTTAAAGGTACACCCACACCAATCAATTTTCTTTTATGATAATTTATTTTAACCTTGAAGCCATAAAAAAACATCGGAGAATGTGAATAAGACCATTCATAATCTCAAGATCCCAAGTTGAAACAAGCATGACATCATCCGTGCGGAGAAGATGAGAAATCTCAATCCTTGTAATAGAATCCCCTAAAGACCGATACATCCCAAAAATCGGAATAAAATTTTCATTTTTAAGACCGAGCCCAAAACCATAATTGTTTACACAACACTGTTCCCAAAAGTCATAATTACAAATCAAAGTATCCCGAAATCGAATTTCATAAAATTTGAAAGATGTGCACGATCAAGCCTTCACCATGCCCCAATCATCTAAAGAACTTGAAACCATAACAAAGAACTGTAAGCAAGAAGCATAGAGAGTTCCCCAAAAGTACCACCACACAACATATAACATATATAATCATGCATACAGGGTCCAATCAGTCATCGAACTTGAATACCCACGGGTGCACAACCTCCCAATTGGATTACCCATGGGCCATAGTCTTCCAGTTGAATCCCCTGTCCGAATCAATCATCAAACTAGAATACTAATATATATTGGGTTTATTCAGTCATCAAACTAGAATACCTTTGGGTCAACAGCCATCAGGTTGGATTACCCTTGTTCTGTTAGCTCTTGCACATAGTAGTAAAGCCTCAACCCAAAACCATAACATGTCGACATATACATAACAAATAAAATATATCCAACAATAGGTAATCGTATAACAAGTCAATAGACATATAGGCAGATCCACATATCACTACCGCATACCAACATCCTATATACCATGACATAGATCGAACAGATCACTACAACATTGGTGCATTCGACCCATAAGAAACGTCAGGAAAACTCATCTCTTAGTCTGAAAAGATTGTTGAGCATGACACTGCTCTAAATATCAGCTCTACCAGTCACCTATCCATTGAAACATGACATAACATAACTATAAATCAAAATACCCCAAGGTCAAACTTGGTCAAAACATGGTCAAAGTTAAAAATCAAAAACTCAACCGATTCGACTCAACTGAATACGCCCAGCGTACTCAGCATGTACGCTTAGCATACTCAAGAAATAGATTGGGCCTTCAAGGGAGTACGCCCTACATACTCAGAAGTACGCATAGTGTACTCGGCCAAAAACCATTTCCCATTTTAAGTGCTTAATTCATTAAGTCCTTTCATCTAAATGTAGATCTAGCCCCCAAATGATTTCCTTAATCATAAAGTTTCCAACTTTATGGTCTTTCATGGTTATTAAGTGCTCAATACCAAAAACCCTAACTTCTGAACTCAATAAGACATCCTAGCCCATGCATGGAAGGAAACTAATGACCAATATTACATTTTTATGCTTCCAAACACTTCAAAACATCTGAAAGGATAACTCATATTAATTAGAGTAGCCCATACTCATAATACCAGGCTTTTGGGACCAAAAGAAGATAAGTCCATGGCTAAGCAAGATCTAGTCAATACTTCATCAAGTTCAGAGCTTTTTACCTTCAAATTATGGCAAATGATGATGTGATTCTGGATCCAAACTGCTCCACTCTTCTAAGAAGGTATCCTCTTCTTCCCTCCTTCTTCAAGATCACTAAAACACACACAATGTCTCAAATATGTTCTCAAATGAATCAGGCTTTTCAAAGGGTCGAAATGGGGCTGGAGGCTGATGAAAGAAAGAAGTCTTGGGATATAAGGATGTTTAAATAGGGTTTAAACCCTAAAAATTAGGGTTTGACCCTTGACCACGTATGCCCAGTGTACCAGTTGTATGCTCTCAACATACTTGAGTAAGTCTATGTACGCTCAACATACTCAACATGTACGCCCAACGTACTAACGCATCCCCCATAATTATAAAAATGCCATTATGGACGAATTTTGAAAACAATTCTCATATCAAGGGTTAAAAGTGTAATTACTTGGAAATCGAGATGTTGCAATTCTCCCCCACTTAAGTAAGACTTTGTCCTTAAGGTCCGCTTTCGCAAATAACTCAGAGTAGTGTTCTCGCATCTCCACCTCGGGACATTCAGACAATCCTCCCCGAAGCGCGATCTAGACAAAAAGTCGGCTCATTCAGGAGACTGCCTTCCCATACTATAATTAACCTAATCTTAGTGAAACCCATGTACCCCGACCAATAATAAATCATTGACCCACTAACTTTACCACTGAAGAAAAACTGTCACAATTATGCCCAAAATTCGGAAATCCAATACCTTGATGAACTCTCAACCAGGAAAAACTATCTCGGAACACAGTCAATAGGACTTCATTTTGCAATTCGGACCATACGGAACCTTTCCAACCCCGAATTACCTTGCTGATACCACTAGGAAACAGAACCCCTAACTATTCATTGTTGTTAAACTCTCCATTCAAAAACAAGGCGACTCCCAACACAAGTCTCAACTAGATAACTGTTGTAGAGAAACACGTACAACGTCAACATATTCCACAACTTCCTAGCTATAAGACCTAACTTCTAGTGATAACCACAGAGCCGAGGACTCTCAAAAATACAACCACCGAAACAACTCCATCTATATGCTCCTGGGGACTAGGAACCCATCAGTTCTAAACTTCAGAAACCATACTCCAAGACTGATATTCATCCATTTGTTAAACCTACACCTTACCTTTGACTAAGAACACCATCAAACATGTGGAACGAATACTCAAAACACACTAATCGGGAATTTCAACCAATCCCAAATCCAAAATTCGAACCAAAAAACTTAAATAAACCCTTGAATCCCTGACACGTCATTACCAACCCACTGCTCCTACGAGCAAAACTGAGCAATCCAAGAATTTTCACATTGTATACCTACACCTGCCAAATCAATTGAGACATTCATAATGAACTTCATGACTTGAGGTTTCATAACCGACACCCATCATTGGTAACCAAACTCTTAAAAAAAGTTCGCAAACAAATAAGATTTATAATGCAAACACTCTGCAAGAGACTTTTGATGTATGACGGATACTCCCAACAACCCTTAACGGACCACATGTTCCAAGCCAGTTGGTCACTGAGTCTCTTGACTCTTACTATGCACTAAAACCCAAACATGCCAAGAAAACCAACGATCCGAGACCTAATAGCCTAAAACAATTGTCTTTCGGGTCCCACCCATACAAATCATATAGTCACTGGTTCATAATACATCATGAAACCTTTTAACCACTAAACAATAAACTCACGGTACTAAGCTGATCTTGCCACTATCCCATCACTGTCCCGAAGGCTCATGACTAGCACCACAATGGCCTAAAGGTACTCAACCATTAACACGAGTCTTAGCTATCTATGAAACGCAATCTATTGAGAGAAATTTTTTTGAGAAACACTTAAACAAACGTTAGTACAAGATAAGGTTGTGGAATAAGTTAATCTCAAAGGATCATAAAGCTTTACAATAATAAAAAGCTAGATTTATTAGATAGTTAGTTGTGGAAATGTAAGGTGCGAAAAGTAAAGGAAATATAAATGACAACAAGTTATATATCAAGTAAACGCTAAACTGATTCTTAACAAGGTTTTCATTCAAACACTAGAATATGAGATCAGTTAAAGTGAAAGTAGTCTCGAAGACTAGATGAGTTAAGAATACGATCTTAATATTTGGAGTGAAAATTCAGAAAGATCTTTTAGATTAATAATCGAAAGATAAGAAAAGATAAGCGATGTGTAGAGATGTTCGAAGGTGTAAGTTACATGAAGATGAAGTCTCTATTTATAGAGACTCAAAAAGTTACATTGGAAATAAACAAGTAATAAACTTATGACTTAATGTGGCCATGCAAGGTCCATTGGATAAAATAATGCATAAAAGACAAGTCAGATGATGTAACTAAAATCTTCATTATGGATGGATAGTTGCGGATGACATCTTCGGATAATGGTTGCAGTAGCAAAAAAGATTGTGGTAGATAGAACAGACTACGGTAGGAGAAGTGGTTGCGGATCGTCAAGTTTAAGAGGGTCACTTTATGTATCAACATTTTTGCCCAAAGTCACCTCTTCAACTTTTCTTTCTTACTTATCAAGTTTTAGAAATTTGATGAGAAGCCACCAAAGCTTCCTAACTTCGCCGAGCCATTGAATTCTCCTTGTAATCTCAAACTTCACTTCTTCAATATGTATGTATGTGTAGGAAAATAGAAAAAATGATGAAAATTATAGAAACCAGTTGACCCGGCAGTCGAATCGGTTGAACCGGAATCCGGTCATCATACCAGTTCAACTAAAAAACCGGTTTTTAAAAATTTCTAGAATGACCTCTAACTGCACATGTATTCGAAAAATTTGGAGTTTCCTGTTTTTCAACCTTAGAATGTGTCTTATGATGAGGGATCTCCTTTTTATCAACATGCGGAACCAATGCAAACATTTTATGAAAGCCAAACCAAACATCATATAATTTCTTGATCATACGATCAACATTATGAATTCCCAAGAATCTAACAAAACCAAAACATTTCCCCATACGTGACGTCTTATTAGAAATAAAGACATCAGCCACTTTGCCCAATCACTACAAAAAAATAGGTTTCTATGACTAAAATTCCAGAGACTGATTAATCAATCATGGATACCATGTATCTAGGACTGATGAATTAGTCTCGAATACAATCCATGTCTGGTTTTAATGTGTGAATCATTAGATACTAACCAAACTTATTCGAGACTAACATTCAGTCACAAATCTATGTGCATTAATTTGGGCTTGACGAGAAACACATTGGGGACTGAATTTTAGTCTCGAATGGTATATAACTAGTTGTGACTTTGGAGGGAAAGTTATATGGGACTGAATTTCAATCGCTGATAGATTTGTGCCAGTTTTGATTGTATATGGAACTTATTAGGGACTGAATTTCAGTCTTTAATACAACCACAACAATTTTTCATTTGGATGGGAACCTTTTTAAAGACTGAATTTCAGTCCATAACATACATTCACCATTTGACATTCAAATAAGCACTTGAAACTGGCTGGATCTTAGTATCTAATAATGATTATTTAGTCATATATACCATATAGCAGAGACTGATGAATCAGTCATGAATAGTATTTGGCAGGAAAGTTATTAGGGGATGAAATTCAGTCTTAGACAGACTAGCCACTTTTGACTTTGGAGAGAAATCATCATGGACTGAATTTTAGTCTTCAAGAAATGTTATATAGTCATATATATACCATATATCGGAGACTGATGAATCAGTCATGAATACTATTTGGAAGGAAAGTTATTTGGGGTTGAAATTTAGTCTTAGATGGACTAGCCGCTTTTGATTTTGGAGAGAAATCATTAGGGATTGAATTTTAGTCTTCGAAAAATGTTCTTTAGTCATATATACCATATATCAGAGATTGATAAGTTGGTCACGAATACTATTTTGATAAAAAGATATTAGGGATTGAAGTTCAATCATAGGTAGTCTATCACCAATTTCGACTTTGGAAGGAAAATTATTACAGACTGAAATTAACCCATGATAGACGTGTGCCAATTTTTACTCTGTAAAGATGTTATTAGGGGTTGAGTTTTGGTCATTAATAAATTGCACCAATTTTTCCTTTGGATGATAAACATATTAAAAACCGAATTTCAATCCTTAAAAGACATGCACTATTTAACATTCAAATAAACACTTGGAATTGGTTGGAAAGACATGCATTATTTAATCATAGATACCATTTATGAGAGATTTGATGAATCGATCACAAATACTATTTGAAAGGAAACATAGTAGGAACTGAATTTTAATCCTCGATAAACTAATCCCTCTTTACTTTGGATGGAAATCATCAGAGACTAAATTAAAATTTAAAGAATAGTCAAAGGATATTATTTTAAGAAAAAACATATTATAGAATAAGCGTGAAATCAACGCATTATCCACCCTTATCTTCAAACGTTTAAAAATATTTGCAACTATAGCATCTTCGATTTTCAAGATTTTAATCCAATAATAAACTAACTAAAACTAATATTGATCTCCATGATTTATTTAATGTCATTATCACAAAATACCAAAATGGATGGTTTCATCTAATAATCTAATTATTTTTTTATAAAAGATGATCATCGATTTCATGATGAAGGTTTTGTAATATTATATTAGTTTTTTTTTTCCTAAAGCCTCTCCTTAATGAGAATAATTTTACAATTAAATCAATTTCAAAAAGTGATATATAACAAAATAAGTTTTCATTAAAAAAAAAAAAAAAAAAAAAAAAAAAAAAAAAAAAAAACAACCTCCATTTGTAAATGAAACTACCATTTTTTTTGAAGTTTTTTTTTGTGATTATCTAACTTCACGAAAAACATTATTATACCTTCAATAAAATATCAAGTTCCAGCATTAATTATTTCATCAAGAAATTCGTTAATCCACAAAATAATCAACTACTAGCTAATGATCACGACCGCCACTACCACTGTCGTTGTCACCGCCACAACTATCACCTTTGTTGTTACCGCAACCACTGTCACCTCTGCGTCCATCAATAAAATGGTCAAGTTCCAGCATTTATTTCATCAAGAAATTCGTTGATCCACAAAATAATCAACTACTAGCTAATGATCACGACCGCCAATACCACTGTCGTTGCCACCACCACAACTATCACCTTTGTTGTTACCGCAACCACTGTCACCTCTACGGCCATCACAAAATAATCAACTACTAGGTAATGATCACGACCGCCATTACCGTTGTTGTTGCCACTGCCACAAGTATCACCTTTGTTGTTACCGCAACCACTATCACCTCTACGGCCATCACCACCACCACCACCACCACCTCCTCTACTATCATTTGTCATCGTCACCACCATCATGACTACCTCCACCCTTCCACACTACAAATAAAAAGATATTTAATGACACATTTTTTTTCCACTGTATTATGTTTTTCGTGACATTAACATTTAATATCATATTTTTTTTAATGATTGATGATTTGAAATGCTATTATAAATTATAAATTATAGATTTTCTATTTTAATTTCCCTCCATTAGTTTTACTTCCCTATATTTCAATTTCATTCCTTTTAAATTTCCAAATTCTAATTTTGTTTCCCTTCTTAAAAATTCATTACACTCTTACCCTTTGTAATTTGTATCTTCATTCAATTGATCTAGGGCTTGTAATTTCCAAGTGAAAATATCAAGCTCTTTCCTAGGATAGTTTTTGGTTTATCTAGGCTAAAATGTTCTTTTGACAAAAATCTTTTTTGACCATATGACTTTTTACAAAAGAAAGTTTTAAAATGTATTTGGTTTATTTTTTGACTTTTTAAAAGTTAAAAATCCAAAAGTTACAAAAAAATCAAAAATTCATAACTTTTGAAACAACTCATTTCTATTCTCGCCAAAAAAGTTGATCTAAAAGAAATTTTTGAAATGTTAAAACATCTTTTTTTGACTTTTAGCTTTTTAAAAAAAACAAAATTACTAAAAGTCATTTTAAAACATTCCCCACGCCCATAATCATGTTCAATCACTCTTCTATGTGAATCATGTCAAAATTAATTTCTCTTTAACCCTTTGTATCTTCATACATTGATCCTAGGTCTGCTCATCAAGAATGTTTTTCAATGTTAATGGAATATCTTTCATGTCTAGAGACGTACGACAAGTGCTCAACGAAATTCCTAGAAAATTGTGTTTAAAACTCCACCCTTTTGGTGCTCCCCCATTCTCTTCACCATCGGAAAACGATAATTCATTTCACGCCACTATGTCATGCTCTCTCCCTTATCACGCTCAATCACTTTTCAATGCGAATCAGATCAGGGTTGGTTTTTCTATGACCCCTTTGTATCATCATACAATTGATCCTAGGTCTCCCCGTCAATAATTTATAGGCACACAACAAGTTCTCAACGAAATGCCTGAATAGATTGTGTTCGCAACTCCTCCCTGTCATTTCTCCCCTCGTTACCTACACCATCGAAAAAGGTAATACACGCTCTTAGGTGTAATTCGTTGTCAGATTTTTTGATTTTTGGTCTTATCGGTTGTTCTTGGGCTTTTTATTTTAGTTTTGTGTATCTGCTTTGTTTGTTCTAAAGTTATCATATTTTAGGTTTAAAATATCGCTTATCGAATGTTTTTTAGGCTTGGTGTTTAACCTATTTGGTGGTGGCTATGGAAACTCCAAAACGAGATCTTCCCCACAAAAACCTGTTGAAGCTTTTCTCTACCTCTCTACTGTCAAACCACTTTTTTTTGTTAATGTTTGGTAAGATGGTGAAAGTTAGTTTCTAATTTGATGTTCTGTTGATAGGTAATTCTAAACTCTGTAGTCGATTACTTTCCCACTATTTCAATAATTCCATTAGTCGGTTACTTTCATGATGAGATTACTTACTTTCTAGATCTGAATGTAGGGTGTGTTTGGGGTATCTTTTCAAAGGGCAAAAGGACTTTTGGGAAAAGTTCCAAAAAACCAGGTTTCCCTAACTTTTCCAAAAAGTCAGTTTTCCTTTTATAAAAAATCCAAAATGAGCTTTTAAGGATCTTTTACCAAACATCTTTTCTCTGTTATCTTTTCCCAAAAGTCCTTTTTCCCTCTCAGAAGACATCCCAAACACACCGTAGATTCCTTTTTCGGTTGCTTTTAAACAGATTTCAAGGAATTGTACTTAAGCGTTCGATGTTTATGTATGTGTTTGTAACGATCATTTTTCGAGGTATAAATTTATTTAAATTCTCAAGTTTTATTTTGGGCTATAATAGAATTATATACGAGAGTGGGCCTTTTGTTTTGGGCCAAGTTATAGCCTGCCCATAAGCCGTACGCGGGGCGTAACCCGTTATACGCTGGGTGTAATGGCTAAATGATACGCGGGAAGGAGAGGCGTACGATGCAGCGTACCATAGTGTACGCCCAACGTACGCGGCCAGAGGAAAAACCCTTATTTTAGGGTTTGAGACGTATTTAACCCCATTATAACCTCCTATTTGGCCTCCTCACTTATCATTCACCCCAGAGAAACCCTAGTTCGTCCCCTTTGCGCCTTGCTTGTGTGTGCTTGATCTTTGAGCTTGTTTTTGTGAAGAAGAAGAAGAAGAGAAGTGGAAGAAGGAGAACTTGAGTACCTTGAGCTCATAGATCTGGGATCATTCCTTCATATGGCATTCAAAAGAGGTATAAAGCTTCCAACTTTCCTCTTGTAAGTTTATATCAAGGAGTTTTTGGAAGTTTGGACCTTTTAGGTCCAAAGGAGGGACCTTTATCTTACAACTTCGTTTTTAGAGCTTGGGATTGCTATCCTTGAAGCTCAAGTGTCCCCATAGCAGTAAAGTTTCGATCTTTGAGGCTTATATGGAACCATGCATGAGATCTAGTTGGTTTTATGGAAGTAGAATGTTATTTGTGGGAGTTTGAGCCTTTATGAGACTTGTAAGCCATCAAGTAAGCAACTTTATAGCTTAAGTCATTGAATAAGCTTAGGATCTGGATTTGTAGCTTCTAGATCGGATTATTAAGCACTTAATGTGATGTTGGCTTAACAAGGTTGTACGTTGGGCGTACAAGGAAGTATGCGTCGCGTACAAGCCAGCAGCCACTACGCTTAGCGTACCTTGGTGCACGCCCCATCGTACGCTACTAGTTTGGGCTTCGAGTGTTGGGCCTCGGTGTGGGCTGGGTTTCAGGCTTAGGGTCCTTGGGCCTTTATGGCCCATCAGAATTCAGTTGCTAAGGACCAAGGATTTAGTATTGGGCTTGAGTAAGGCCCAATAAAAGGGTTCTAGGCCCAATATAGCAAATTGGGCCTATAGTGGGGCCATAGATGGACTTAGAAGGAATTGAGGTTTTGGGCAATGTTGTGTCCCACACCATAGTAGGGGTAAAATGGTCATTTTACCCATAGAGGAATCCCTATTCTGATTTAGTATTTATTTCCCATTATAGCTGGGAAGCAGCCGGAGCAGCCGTCAGGTATTTCTCATTCAAGAGTTCAGCAGCTAGCGTCACGAGGTGAATTCCTTCCAGTAGGAACGGGTCTAAGGCCACAATTCCGGTCCGTTTAATTAGTAGTAGTTTCTGGACCTCGTTCCGATGCAGTAGTTAGAATGTTTGATGCCTTCGTGGTTCAGACAGGGTTTGTGTGTTATGTGTTCCGGGCTACGACCCAATGCAGTATGCGGTTTATGTGTTCATGCTAGTTTATATGTTTATGCTATGCTATGTTATGCCCAGTCAGTTCCGGACTTCGGTCCAATGCAGTTAGTCCCTGACTTCGATCCGATGCAGGGGACAAGGTCCCAGTTAGTTCCTAACTTCGGTCTGATGCAGTTAATCCCGGACTTCGGTCTGATGCAAAGGGCAAGGCCCTGGTTAGTTCCGTACTTCGGTCCGATGCAGTTTCTGGACTTTGGTCCGATGCAGTGGGAAAGGCCCAATATGTGTCATATATGTTGTTGTATGGTATGTGGTAGTTTGGGGGAGCTCACTAAGCTTTGTGCTTACAGTTTCCTTAGTTTTTCTTTTAAAAATCATTTTCGAAAACATTTTTCTTTTAAAAATCTTTACCGTTTCCTTAGTTTGAATTCAGATACACCCGGAAGTGTATCTGAATCTCTCAAACCAAGGCTCTGATACCAACTTGTAACATCCTAAAATACGACCCAAAAATTTTTGTTTAATAATTACTAAAAACACCATGTTAATATCATAAAGTAAAACTCATACATCAATATCTCAAAACAATAGCAAAGTTTCCTTGTAATACTGTAAGCAGTCTTGATACAGTTTCCTTGTAATACTTTGCTATTGTTTTGAGATATTGACGTACGAGTTTTACTTTAGGATATTAACATGGTGTTTTTAGTAATTATTAAACAAAAATTTGTGGATCGTATTTTAGGACGTTATAGTGTTTCATGCCATCTTTGTTAGACCTTCTTTGTTAGACCTTCTTTGTTAATCAATTAAATTTGTATATCTTATTATTGTTAATTTTTTAGGAAATCTTTTAAATATATATCTTGTTAATTTGTTCAGGCTAGAGGGATGTATCAAGCCTACAATATGTTGTTAAAGGCTCAAGGTATGCCCACCTGATAAACATGGAGATTTTACGTATAATGACATAACAAATCTATTAGAGCAGGAATAATAGTTATGACTGTTCATCAAAATTTGGAACCCTTTCACATATTGTTTAGTTATTGACTTGTTTCTTATACTTTTTTGTTTGTTGTTTTGACTTTGTTTGATTTCAAACGATTACGGTTCATTTATATATTACTAGTTCGTTCCTTATAAAAATTAAAATTGGTTTTATATTTTTTAGTCATTATATATGCTAGTTTGAGACTGAAATTTAGTATTAAATTGTAGCATTTGCAACATATTATTACAACTAAAATTTTGTAGTAGGGATTGAATACTAGTCCTTGTAAACACGTATTCGATACCAAATGATCCGAGATTGATATCCCTTCATTGAGAAATCAGGTTATGGACCGAATGGCATTGTATTTGAGACTAATATTCGGTCACTGAAAAATTACATTAGGAACTGAATGACATTATATTTGAGACTAAATGAGATAATATTAAAGACTGGTATAGTGGTATTCACTCCTTGGGTGATGGTATTAAAGACTAATATGATATAAGTGTGTCCTCGAAGGAAATATAATAAAGACTCGACATGATAGTATCAAAGAGAGATATTTAGTCCTTAGTATCAAAGATTGATACGAAAAAAAAAAAAATTGAAAGAAACATATTGGAGACTAAATGATATATTATAAAGGTCTGATATTTAATCCCTAAAATTTAGTATCAGCATATGATATCAAATTTAGGATTTGAAGAAAACAATTTAGAAACTAAACGAGATATTATCAAAGATTGGTTTTTTGTCGTTGGTACTTTGATATAACAGGGATTGATTTATAGTTCTAGATACACAAAAAATCAACTATCTAAGATTAGGTCCCGGGGACTAGTTGGGGACTAATAAATCAATCGTCTGATTCTCATAAGAGACTATCAGTCTTTGATAACCATTTTTCTTGTAGTGAATCCGGAACAAAATCGCCACATATAAGAAGGTAAAACAAATTCCGAAAAATTCGTTACATAAAAAGAATGAGTATCGGACCTGCCAAGTTGATGATCACAAATAGATTGAAATTTGTTTCTCATATTCTTTCCATCATAATAGTGATCCCTATTCCATTCCTCATCGGGCTTCCAATGTGAATTCTGAAAAGACATGCATGATGATGAACACCCTCAACAGAGCGTAATAGACAACAAGCCCTAAATTAAATTGAAACCAAATGATCACGCAATCAACCACAAAAGCACTGAGATTCCGCCCCGGCCCTGCCGACATTTGAATCCATCGGAGAAGAAGGGATGAGGACAATAGTTGGAGGCGGTAGGTCCGAAATCGCCAGTGATTGATACTATACGATTCGAAAATTAAATTAGTAAAATACAGTAACTTTTTTTGATATAATATTAATGTTTTGTTATTTTTATTATATGACAACTATAAATATGTTTATTTAATTGCTTTTGTTTGGTGTCAATAGTTTTGGAGGAAAAATAAAATACAGACATTATGACATTATTTCCTAATATGGGTTGATTAAATTTTTTCAAATAACCAACATTTTTGCAATTAAGTGCAATATTAACTACGAAATTTGCTTTTTGTATGGTCCTCTCAAACAAAATAAAAAACGAAAAGTATATACATAACAAAAAAAAATGTCTTTCGCATCCTATGGAATAGGTCTTTATAACTACGGATTTGGTCTCCTATACATAAGGCTGGAGGGTGTGTCCGCGGTTTGGGGCCGTGATTTGTGTCACCTCAGCCGTACACACCGCCGCAGACTGCGGTTTCGTGCCGTTTAGACCGCACTACGACTAGAGACTACCGCGAATCGTGATTGGTTATTGAAGTTTTGACCGGTGATTGGTCTTTAGAATAAATTTTTTTTTTTTCCTTTTTGTCTTTCATTCCTATATATATATATATATATATATATATATATATATATATATATATATATATATATATATATATATATATATATACAAATTCATTTTTTTTTCTCACACAATACAAACCTTTCTCTCTCAACTTTTAAAAAAAAAATAACCAATCTCGGATAACGATTTATATAGTTGGCTTTAGTTATTTTATTTGTATTTTTTAAGTTTTTAGGATTGTTTTAATATCATGTGTGTTTTTATTTATTTATTTATTTGTGTAATGCAATGTAATATTTTTTGAATTTTCAATATAATGTTTTTTTTTAATTTTCAAGCAATGAAAATATATGTTTTTTATTAAAAAAAAAAAAAGTTTTAACTAAAATAGCTAAAAAAATGTGGCACGAGTGTGGCAAGAAACCACAATTATATGGTAAAAAATAACGTGACGCTTATATGGCGGTGGAGTGAGTACGGTTTCGATGGCACCACTCCCTCCAGCCTAAGTAAATATCCACCGTTTTCTCAACTTTGCCACTTTCAAACTACATGGAGTTCCCAACTAGATGTAGAAATTTCTGTCTTTTTTTTCTCTATCTTTTTCTTTCCTTCGTCGTCATTCTTTTCCTTTAATTTCTTGCTATGAATTCAATATTTCTTGATTCTTCTTTCTATTTTTAGTTTTTCATTTTGTAATTTCAATACATTTACCTAATAAGAATTACGAAGTTACCACGTTTGAATCTCATAACTAAACGAAAAAGGAGATGGAGAAATTAACCAAAAACATTGGAGAAAATTACACGAATGGTCCTTATGGTTTGTGCTTACTTGCACGCTTCGTCCCTAAAAAGGCTTTTTAACTCGGACCATCCCGAAACTTTAATTTGTGCTTACTTGCACGCTTCGTCTCTGGAAAGATGTCGAGAAAGTCGCGTACTTATGGGATGTCCTTTATGTCTTTCATCACTTGGCTCATATCAACCACATGAGCAAGGAATGCATGACATTCCTTTCGTAAGTACGTATGGGCTTGTATACTCGAGATGATACGAAGGTTCATGTCGGGTTTGTCTCCATAGATAACTAGAGTTTCGGTAGATTAAGGCGAACGACCTTCTCATAGAAAATGATGTCAGCACGAT